GACTCGGGAGCTATAATAGGTTAGGTAACCAGGCTAAGCCCTTTTTGTGTGGACTCCTGCAAGAGACATACATTTTTCGAGCTGATCGACCTTTTCTAGATCCATGATCTGACACCTGAGTTATGAAATGTTGTACAATCAGCTTTCAAACACTGAAAATATTTCCTAATGCAAGTCTTCATTTCTTAAACAGTACTGTATAAGTTGGATCACTAGAAATCGCCGAAGTCTAAACAAAGACGATAAGAAAGATAATCCCTACCTACCGACCCTATTTTTTCAGGACTGAAACAGGAAACACAACATTTTTTCCCCCAGGCCTGCTCCGGCATCATCCACTGCTGCAGCAACGTTATGATTACTCACATGCCACGTATTGATCGGCCCACTTCTGTTCCGGATAAGTGCGCTCTCCCTGGTCGTAGCTAGCCTGGCTGCCAGGCCATCGTAGGCTCACCGGTTTCTCTACGGTGCTGGGAGTACTGTTAGCCTGGCAGCCAGACCATTGTAGACTCTATAGTATCTCCATCGTTCTGGAAGTAATGTAGACTTGCTGCCAGACCATCGTAGGCTCCCAAGTTGGAAAAATGTCAAAATCAGTAGGATTGTATTCAGAACCGTTCCTTATCCAGAACCAAGTTCAGACATGGTTCTGGATGGTCCACGAGTATCCAGAACCAATCCTAGGTCAAATCTACGTTCTTGGATACGAGAGTAGTCAGAACTGTGTCTAACCCTAAACCCTAGCCCATTCAGAAGAAGATAGGCACGATTCTGGATACAATAGATGGGTTGATGGTAAATGGATACATAAGACGTCAGATCGGCAGTCTACAGACCAGTTTGTCAAGCAAATCTCGTCACTACCTTATCGAGATGGATTGTTTTATCGATCTGCCAGACTAACACCTCGGGGAGCGCGCTCGGCACTTAACGCAATCAAACTGCAGCAAAGTGTGCATCAAATCGGCATGTTGTAGCCTGGGCAACACGATAAGGGATTTTTAATGCTAGTTTCTTTCTCGAAACAAAATATCAGATTTTAACAGGGAAACATGTAGGTTCTTATGTTAGTTACATCACGAACATGTTTTTTTTTATATGTTAATATTATATTTCTTCTAATTTTGACCAATTCCATACTTATATCATGTAATTATATACCACTACATGATTCCATGAAGGAATGATTTGTCTTAGAATCAACCAATGCAATAAGAAATTGTTAATGCTAGTTTCTTTCACGAATCAAAATATCTGATTACCACAAGGGAGGCATGTAGGTAACCCGGGTACACTGTGTATGTATTTAAGTATATGCCATTATATTTGTATGTACTTCTTATATTTGTTATATCAAAATAGAATATATTTTTGTGTTGGTTCTCTTTTTGTCTGATTTTGACCTATTGTATACTCTAATGGACTGATTTGTTTGGTAATCGACCAAAATACAATTAAAAAGAAGACTATGACAAGGAATTCCAACTAAATCACTCACATGGGTGCAGTGAAAGCACTGTTACAATCCCTTACGGCCTTTTACCATGTAGAACATACAGTTAGCACTACTCCCTGCATGTGAACAGGGAAAACCTGACCTAACATTAAATATCCCTGAAGGAATACATGTATATTCGAGTATAAACTCAGAAACTACAT